CCCCAAAACCCCAAAACCCCAAAACCCCTCAGATACCAGATAATATTGAAACTTAAGGTTTAGAGGAGGGAGGATATTACATATAGGGCAACTTTAATGGATAGTTCTGTACTGTATAGTCCTGGCCCAGAAGAGCACTAACTTTACTAAAGATTGCAAGAGAGATTAATATGAAGATGTATAAGACTGGAGAAAAGTTTAAGTAATGATATAGTTCAGATTATTTACTAAAAACTAATCCTAAAGTTTGATCGTCGCTGGAGTTCTGATATTGATCTATTGCCACTCTATCGCATATGACAATGTCCGAGTGTCAGATATGGTAAAAGCTTAGGACAAGCCTTTGTGAATCGACCGAACTTATCCCATTACTTAATTTTTTAATCTATATAGATTTATAATAAATTTTTGATTTTCCTTTTGAGGTAAAATTCTAATCACTCCATTATGTTAAGCCTAGTGATAGTATCTAGGGCTCCGTATCTAATATTGGCTTCTCAGACAACACTTCAGTTCCTGCCGCAAGGCTGATAGTTGTTTCTTTGATGATATTCAACGACTCTTAGCTTTTGATGGAGATAAAAATCTTAATATTTCAGTTCCTTGATTTGAAAAGATAGAGAAAGAGTTTTGTAGTAAAGATATCACTTATATAATCATAGATCTGAAAAAGAATGCAGACTAGCTATGCCACACATCATTAAAATCCTTTTGTTCTCATAATGACCAAGGCTCCATGAATAAGTCCTCATGATTAAACAAAACTTCATCGTTCTTCTGTGTTAATAACTCATTAATGGATTCATCTGTCCATACCTCTCTGTTCAGTATTTAAATGTTATTTGTGAAGAAGGAATGCAAGCTTGAACATACTTTCTTCTGGATAAAGTATTGTCTTAGAGTTTTCAAAAATACTAATCTTTGTATTAAGATTCAAGATATTGATAGGTCTAATTTTCACATGCCAAATCTGTTTGAAAATAATTAATAACTACCTCTAGGAGTTAAGAATCTGCGTTAATTTTATTGAGTATTATTCCTGTAATAAGATACCTTGCACATTTATAAGAACATTTGAATGTATTGATCAAATTCGAAGTTTCTTGGTAACAAAGTCAACTTCATAGCCTAAGATATAGGTATATATCAGTTTCCATACATTGGTTAATTTTCATAGCCACTGAGTCCTTTACTCGTGAATCTATTCCTGATCTTGGAGAGCTCTTCTTGGCTCATTTATGTTCTTGTTCTTTTAGTTTCTGCTGTCTCCAATGAAAGCAGTTTATTCTTTCATAAATTCGACATTTTAGGTTTATTATAAATAGTTTTCTATTAATTTATTTGAAAATGGGGTTTTGGGGTTTTGGGGTTTTGGGG